AAAAGAGCTTTATATGGAAGACAGTAAGTTGTGCAATACAAACAGGCGCACATGGGTGGGAGGGAATTGTGTGTCAGTCACGTGACTCGAATAACTCCCATAATGTTTTGATATCCAGAAGCACTTACATTTACGGATTATGTGTTCACATGTAACAGTTGCATTTGAACACATATTATGTGTTCACATGCAACATTTTATATAAAGCTCCCCCGGACAGGTTCATTTAAACCATAATGGACACAGAAAACAAACAAAAACGTGCTTAAAGGTATAAATAGAAAAAAATGTGTTAGTGCCAGTGAAAGACGCGAGGTAATGACAGTGTCTCTGCAGTCATAAACAGAGACTGTGTTGCTATGGCTCATATTCTCATGGGGATAGGAGACCAGTGAAGCAGGACCTGAGTGAAAACAACAAGCAAGCACAATAGTTCAGTGAAGGCTAACAGAGAGCTGTCTCTCATTCTCTGCTAGTGCACGTGCCAGTTTAACATCTGTCCAATACACACAGATCACATTCACAATACACAGCCGTAATAGTCAATTAACCCTTTTGAAGCCTACTGTATCATATTTGATACACACATTTCTGAGGCCTCGTGATTAAAAAACTTTTCTGAAAAACCTGTTGTACACAATCTTCTTCATGCCTTCTGTCATCTGAGTAAAAGTAAAAGGCCTCGTAAAAATGTCCCCTCTCCAGTTCCCAGGTACACGGGGTATACAAAATATAAGAATAACTGGTAACACGTGTTACATGTAGTTACTATAGTAAAAACTCTAAATTATGCATAATTACATGCAACCAACCCTAAACCAAACTGTAATCCTTACCCTAACTTTATAGTAAGTACATGTAGTTAGTTATTATTACTCAGTACTTAAATGAATAATTACACTGTAACACCTTAAAATAAAGTGTAACTGAAATAACTTTTATATTGTTAGCAATTTCAACATAAGCACCTACTGGACTAAATTAACTTCAACTTACATACACCCTCACACAACTGTATAGTGAGATCAGTATATATATAGAAAAAAATACTGAATAAAAATAAGTTATTACTTCAATAAACAGAATTGCCTTAATTTACTTGCTTATCCAAACATCATATTTTTTAATTGTGTTAACATGTTTGTCAATCTGATACATCAGGCTTCTGAGGAACGGTTACTCATTTATACTTTGATTTTAAAACTATATCTTATCAAGACAGCGAGATACAGAGCGACAACTAATATTTATATGTGCATTTTGCATTTACATTACAAATTGCGGTAACACTTTACTTGAAGGGGTGTGCATAAGACTAACATGACACCTTCATAATCATGACATGACACATGTTATGAATATGAAGGAAGTTGTATGTATGTTTATGACAACTGTCATTAGGTGTCATTCGCTCAATTATGACATTTTTAATGCAAATATGACATTGTTTGAGATGTCTTTGTTATGACACCTTGACATAAACAAATACATCATAACCTGTCAGTGTATTTGTCATGACAACTTGACATTACTAAGACAACACAACCTGTCATAAACATGACATAGCAGATTAATTATCAAACTTAAGAAACCACTTAGCTTTATTGGTTAACATTACATTAAACTGTCAGGTGGTTGGTTTTGACATTGGCTGTCATGAAGCCATTATAACTTTTTAATGACAAATTCAATCTGTACCACTGTAGTTGAGGTCACGAAAAATATTCATGACACAGTTATAATGGCCTTATGACAGCCAATGTCAAAACCAACCACATGACAGTTTAATTTAATTTAATGTCAAGTTGTCATGACAAATACACTGACAGGTTATGATGTATTGGTTTATGTCAAGGTGTCATAACAAAGACATCTTAAACAATGTCATATTTGCATTAAAAATGTCATAATTGAGCGAAAGACACTTAATGACAGTTGTCATAAACATGCATAAACCGTACTTCATATTCATGACATATGTCATGTCATGGTTATGAAGGTGTCATGTCAGTCTTATGCACACCCCTTCAAGTAAAGTGTTACACAAATTGCATTTATATTTTATATGCATTTTAAATAGACTTATAAATATCTCATTGATTTAGATTACAAGCTATCAGAATTTCATCTTATTTTTTGGCCATATAAATATCAGCATCTGCACCAAATTGGATGCATTGGTTCTGTTTGTGTCTCTGAATAGTGTTTTTCATCCTCAAGTATGAGCTCCATGTTCTCCTATATCATATGAGCCATAAAAGCCTGATGCATCAAATATAATACAAAACAAAACACACAGTGCAATCTTATTTTTAGAGTTTCTTTTATATTTTATCTAAAGGTACAATAAACTACTCCATTAACAAAATCTGAATATTACTTCATATGCTAGGCTTTACATGGTTGACTTGAGCAATAACTTTCAGTTTCATTTAAATATATTTTAAATGAAGATTAAAAGAAGCCTGTAGTTTATTACTTTTCCAGAACACCATAGCAATCACCGAGCACTGCCATAGCAACCACTTGCCGTGCACTAAAAACACTCGCTAAACAACACCTTAGCAACCGCATAACACCGGCCTGGCACTCTCTCTCGGTGTGGTAAAACTGCGGTAGAGTGTGGCAGACACCACACGCAGAGTCTGATGGGTTTACATTACACGCCACCCCCACACTGCAACACAACAACAACACCACAACACCCAGGCATCAACTAGGAGGAATACTCAGCATAACTTGCAGTTTAGCAGTTTAACAGACAGCGCTGGTTTCTAGAGAAGCGTGGCAGAACTGGCCAGGTGAGCGTGTAAGTGAAATTAGAGTTGGCAGCATAGACAGAGGGAAGGAAGGTCTTACAAGATAATCTTATTTTCTTACCTCCCCTCACACACACTGACTGAGGCCTGACTTCATTCAGGGCATAAGGTCACACTCCTGTCCGCTGTAATCCCGTTAAGGGGATGTGACAGACTGTGCCGTCTACCAGTAAACGCTGACCACTGACAGATCGACCCGTACTGAGACCGAGAGCGCATATGAACCATCACATCTTTCCTGTATTACAACAACACTAACTTCACAAAGCTTGATGAACACATGCATTATGCCTTTCTTAAGGCCTGTTTACACCAAGGAAGAAAACTATAACAAAGATAACTATAAAGTAGCAATAATCATTCAATAAAAAATGTGTTTTTTAATCGGCCACGATTTACTAATTCGTTCCCTGATTTTAAAGGGGATATATCATTCCATCTTTAAGTGCTTTAATCGGGTCCCCGGTGCATCTAACAAACCAGTATTATGGCGACACATTCTGGGGACACCATAGATTTATATTCCATCTTGTGAAAAGGGGTATAATATGTCACCTTTAAGTTAATTGGCCGTACAATATAATAATTCGTTCCCTCTTTTTACTAAATCGTGGACATGATATAATAATTTGTTCCCTTGTTTTTCTAAATCGTGCACATGATATAATAATTCATTCCCTTGTTTTACTAAATCGTGTGCATGATATAGGCTAATCATTTGTTTCCTTGATTTAGTAAATCATGGCCATTATTTGTTTTCCCTCTATTTGATTTAAGACAAGGGAACGATTAATAGTAATATTAATATATATATATGTACAACCTTGGCCTATTCAACATCCACACAAATGATATGACATATAGTAAAATAATACTGTATCATACCGTTCTATTGACGTGTATTTTTGAAGTGTGTATCCATGTATGCTTTCATGACTAAATTTGCTATAATCCCACTGGCTGAAAGAACTTGTTCACTGCTTGATAGTTTGTGTAGCCTTAACCATGTACATTATTTTAACAAATAGTAAATTACAATCATTTACTTTAAAGAAAAATGTAAAAAAAAATCAAATAAAAAATGCTTTTAATTATATATGGCATATCTCATGATATAGCTGAAACAATAAATGGTCAAATTAAATAATAATAATAACAATAATTACTGTGTGTTTGCAGTTAGCCTGCTGGACTCTACCACTAAACAGGTAGACCAGCAACTAGCAACAAAAGTGGTTTTATTTTATCAGTTAACTTACAACCAAGGATGTAACAGACATTTCTGATCAGGCATTACACTTAGCCCAAGGCTTAATATCTCTTGATTCTGTTGGTTGAGGAAAAGCAATGCTAGCTAGATGTGACTACCAATGCCATTGCCAATGCAAACCAGAGAATTGGAAGCAACCACTGACATGCAAGTTTCTGGTATAGTGCAGAGATGTATGTTCTTCAGTTTTGTGTGTGATGCATATTAAACATCAGCACAGTGAAGAACCCCAGTCTCTCTCTCTCTCTCTCTCTCACCATATCCTGCCATGGAGATGATAAAACTCTGGCCTCTGTGTTTCCTCAGAGTTATCCAGCCCGCTGGGCACAGGGTAAACACACACACACACACATCATGATGCACTCATCAGACCGTACATTTCACTTCTAAAGACATTATCAATGCAGTCCTTGACACGTAGTTTGAATTATAAGCATCAGGTCAGTCAAGAGTCATTTCTATGCACCTCTCTATTCGAGAGTAACACACTAAATTTAGTCAGGCAATATAGGAGGAAAAATTATTTTTAACCAGAGAACATTTTAGGTAAGTTTGAGTAATATGCCAAATGAGACTCAAACAGAAACACAGTGACCCCAAAATAGTATAGTAATAGTATGGAGACGTAAAAATGTCTAAATGGCATCAAGGGGAACTTATATCTAATGCAATAAGAATGTAGACAAATTTATATGTAAATTAGATAAATACTTTTGGTGCTTCTTATTTTTTTTTTATTTAGGTTATATTTCCTAATCAAAAATGTAAGATACATTACTTTTGAAGACTATATATAACAAATATGAAGCAATATTATGAGTTGCCCCTTAAAGTTGTCTTAGGCCATATGGATTCAATAAAAACTCTTCCTCTAAGATGCTAAAGTCGATGCATTTTTTTTGTTTTCTTACCTTCTTTGGACCGCATCGGTTCTTCCATTGGCATTTCCTGTAGGGACATTGAATAATTAGACTCAACAAAAGCGTATGTTCAGTGTACACTAGCTCAGGTTTTCTAGATGCTGCTCTGTAGACTCTCAAATAACCCATCCCAGCTAACTGAATCTCTCAGCACATCACCCACAGTCATGTCTCTATCACTTTGTGGCCTTGTACTGCACTAATGGCTTTGTCTTTCCATTCAAATTATTTTTCGATCAGCTAAAACAATCATTTAGAGAAGACCTACCTGCCATGGCTGGTTTCTGACATATCCGATGTGATTTTCAAACCTTTCTAGCTCTCCTGAGGTTAATAATTCACTAGAATTTGATAAGTTCCTGTGTGAGCGTTTCAGAGAGGAAGTGCACACATGACCAATCCCAGCACACACCTGACAGCTCAAGCACGGTGCAATATAATACACACTCTATACTTACAAAAAGCTGTATGATGATTTAAATAATATTAAAAACACTGTAAAAAACATTTTAAATGTGATACAAAACCTGGAATCTCAATTGTCATGAAATTAAGGTCAAAATGCAAAAACAACTCAATGGTCCTAATAATAATAATAACCTACTTCAGATAATACTGATACCTACTGCAGATGCGGCATCAACATATTATGCATCCATGAGAAAGCATTTTTAAATAAAAACCTGCATAAACAGAAACTGCCAGTCCAAACAAATCCAGTTTGCCAAACTAATACACCATGATGTCATGCAAAATGTAGGCGGTGTATTGGTCAGTGTGTCATCCAGGCAGCTATTGTGTTGCCAACCCACTTTCCATTCAGAGCACAAACATGTTTACAGGGGTTTGGTTTCTGGGCCGCAGCACGACATCATTGAAGATTGAGCCATTAGACAACTGAATGGTAGACATTTAGCAAAGTGTGAAACTAATGCAGTGAATCTACTGCTGTTTTGAATGTGTGATCAGTTATGACACATACCAGAAATTTGTTTAGCTTTTGCAAACAATAAATCAGAAAACAAACTGTCACAGAGTTCATATTATCTGCTGTAACTAATTGGTACAGAAAAGGTCATTATGTTCTCTCTCGGCCTAGATAAACCAGAGTCTCTAGTCGCCACAATTAACCCTCGTGAGCAAAGACAAGACTCTCATTAATATGATGCAGTCAGTTACCAAACATCAGCAAAATTAACTTCTGCTACACTTGTGGATGAGAAATTTTTAAAGTGCCCCTATTATGGTATATTAAAGTCACCATGAAATCAATATGTAATTTTTTTATTTAGAATGAACATGTTAGCTTTAAAGGGATAGTTCACCCAAAAATGAAATTCTTGTCATAGATTACTCCTTAAATTAAAAAAATTCAATTGGTTTTGCAAAAGTTATTTTTAATACATGTTTTGGCAGAGTTTTCGTTGCATTTGCACCATTCTGACCAGGTGTCTCCAGCGTGTGGTGTTTCGAGTGCTTTGAAATAGTGAATCATTTTGCGAAACAATTGGTTTATTGATTCAAAAACTCGAAACGCTTGGACCGCATCTGTAAAAGTCTGATTGGAATCGCATTTCAAACCACCTCCAAATATGGTTTGAATCAGAATGGAAAAACTACGATTTTCTGTTTTTGTCCAGACTTTCAAAAACCCATCTGGATATGCAACACACTTGGTTGTGTTGTGAGCATTTGCAGCACATGTGTTGTCAAAGAGATGGAGATGCTTTCTTAATTTGCTGGGGTTTTCTTCAGTTGCAGTGCGTTGATCCTTGTGCTATTTGCATTACGTTTCTGTATGTGGATGCATTGTGAATATTTGGATGCATTGTGAATATTTGCATTCACTGTTTTTATTTATTTTGAGGAAAATCTGATTTTGTGCAAGTGAGATGAGTAAATGTCACGAGTGGAGCGAGATATGCGAGTAGGAAATTCTCTGTCCCCGGGGCTACCTGTTTGATCCTGCCAGGAGCATATTGTATCAAAGATTAAGCCATGCATGTCTAAGTGCACACGAATGGCTCATTAAATCAGTTATGGTTCCTTTGATCGCTCCAACCGCTACTTGGATAACTCCAATTCCAGAGCTAATACAGGCAAACGAGTGCCGACACGACCACTCTAGGTCAGGGGCGAGTGCATTTATCAAATCCAAAACCCATCCAGGGCGGCTCCGGCCACTTTGGTGACTCTAGATTACCTCAGGCTGATCAAGCCCCCTCATTCGAATGTCTACCCTATCAACGTTTAGCGCCTACCATGGTGACCACGGCCAACAGGGAATCAGGGTTCGATTTCAGAGAGTGAGCCTGAGAAACGGCTCCCACATGCAAGGAAGGCAGCAGCAGCGCAAATAACCCATTTCCAACACCGAGAGGTAGTGACAAAAAATAGCAATACAGGTCTCTTTCGAGGCCCTGTACTTGGAATAAGCGTATCCTAAACCCATGGGTGAGGACTCGTTAGAGTCTTGTGGCAGCAGCCAGGGTAATTTCAACTCCAATAGCGTATACTAAAGTTGCTACAGTTAAAAAGCTCGTAGGTGGATCTCGAGAGTGGGCTGGTGGTCTGCCGTAATGTGAGTCCCCACCTGTCCTGGACCCTGCCTCCCGGCGCCCCCCGGATGGCCTTAGCTGGGTGTCCGGTCACCTCGGGCCCGGAGCGTTTACTTTGGAAAAAACTTGAGTGTTCAAAGCAGGCCGCCTGTCGCCGCTGAACACCACAGCTAGGAATAATGGAATATGACTCTGGTTCTATTTAGTGGGTTTCTGGAACCTGGGGCCATGATTGATAGGGAGGCATTCATATTGCACTGCTAGAGGTGCAATTCTTGGACCGGCGCAAGACGAAAGTCAGCAAAGGTTGAAGCAATCATTGTTAAATGGGACGGTCTAGCCTATGTAGGATTGCTAACAACCTGTCAAAATATGTTCACCTTGGTCCATTTATGCACATAATTAAGGGTATAAACTATCTATAAAATAGCAGCTTAGTCAGATATGTCAAAATGTTAACATTTTTTCTTTCTTTTTTTTTTTACTTTAGTATTAGATATTAGAGTAAGTTGAAACCCAATACTTAAAAAAAAAGGCCAGTCATCACCAATAGAGGATCATATTTCACAGATTAATCAGTAGGCTTTGGTCGATTATTCAGCTTTTGTAATTAGTTAAAATCTCGAGTTATACATATTCTAACGAATTAATAAAACAAGGAAATCAGCCAACTGAATAGACCAATTTCCTTCAGGCTTTCTGTCCTCTGAAATCATCAATAATCCAACTACTACGATGACTGGTACTGTGGTTTTATTAAGGCTGGGTATTGACATAAATTTCATGATTCGATTGCTAAGCTTGCAATTTGATTACAATATAGATTTAGTTCGATTCATTTGGATATAACAGATTGTACAGTACAAGTAAATTTTTCTCAAGGAAAGAAAAATCTCACAACTAAATAATACTGTAAACTACACAGGGAACCCAGTCAGCTGGTACATTACTACAACATTAAAGGTTAAAATTAACAACTTTATTATGTAAACAATTTCATTTTGTGCAGTTTTTATAATAACAATGTTCTAAAATAAATGTTTAATAAGAGTAAAAATAAGCATGTAATGTCGTGCTCTTATTTATACAAAAATTCTATCTAGAGTTAATTTTTCCAGCTAACTATGGAGTTTATTGTCATTGAATGGCTTTTTCTGAGGAAAATGTGATGTTACGTGATATATTGTTTACAAGCTGTTTTATTGACAGCATTCCGAGGTTGAAATTAATTGATTACATGAGACATGATACATTCAATAAGTTGTATGGTTTCCTTTAACATACCTTCTGATGTTCATTCATGCTGTAGGTAGCTAGTAGTAAAGAAAAGGAAGAGATGATTGGTTCATGTGCAGCTTGAACTGAGGTGCTATACAGCAAGCTGTCACAACAAATTAAAAAAGCAATAAAACCACATTTATTGTTTGAATTTCGCAGTACAACAGAAATGTCTAAGATTTCATCAAAAAGACCTTATGTTCCGAAGATGAACAAAAGTCTTACGGGTTTGGAATGACACGTCTTTTCTTACACAAACGCTTCACTTCAGAAGGCCTTTATTAACCCTCGCAGAGCCGTGTTGAGCACTGTAATCATGAATAGATGCGCTTTAATGTACTTCCAAAGACAGACAGCCATTCAATGGCATTTTCAAGCCAGGACATTTTTTAATATAACTCCGATTGTATTCGTCTGAAAGAAGAATGTCATATACACCTAGGATGGCTTCAGGGTGAGTAAATCATGGGCTAATTTTCAATTTTGGGGGAACTATCCCTTTAATATAGAACAGTGATTAAACCGACTGGAACTACCTGTGCATTAAAATGTCTGAACGCTCACATTCCAGCCAATCAGAATAGAGTATTCTGACATCATATATATGAACAATCTTTGCATAGCCAGGTGGTGAGAGCAGAAATTTTTATATGTGGATAGTACTAACGTAACAATTTTTGGATTATAACGCTTGACCAAAAAGAAAAACAAAAGGCATTTCAGAGCATCTGTATATTTTATTCACATATGTTACATTTTGCATTAAATGTCATTAAAAGTCACCCTTTCAGAGATGACATCATAAAGTCTGAATCAGCACCTACAGTAATGTACTGTATTACTGCCTGCCTGACAAGCACTCACCGCAGGAGAACACACCAGCATTATCCACCCATCACACTTAGCACAACTGTCTGTCTATACAAAGTGGGGAAGGAGAGAAATAAGAACTCTCAAAAAGGGGGGAAAAAAAACAGCAGCATGCAAGAAATCAAGACAAAATAATGAAAAGAAGCTAACTTCAAGTGCACTGAAAACATCCTCCATCCAGCATGACATGATTGCAGCAATGATAATCAACACCTACCAATCAAACTGATCAATACAAACCAAACATGCTTTTTTCTGGTACGTGAGTGACTGAGTATGTGTGTGGTATTGGGGGGTGCTCGACTGTCTTCAGTAAGAAACAAAGCAAGCAAATTACCCTCGATATAGCTGGACGTTACATGTCCCTGTAATTGCACCAAATATAATTTTCACAAGGGCTCCACTGATGTTATTATTTTGATTGTGACACCACATTGAGAGCTCTTGAAATTACTTTCAACAACTATCAATGTGTTGTCACACAAGGCAAATTATTATTATTATTATGTTTAAACTGGGAACATTTTGTGTTAATGTGATAATTTTCGATCTTAATTTTTAAGGGGGAAATGATGAAAAGAGGAAGTACTCAAACTAAATCACCTGCTAACAGAGGAGCTGCTTAAAATAAAGAAACTGTGTGCCATACCATACATGTCCATCACTGGACTGGGCTGTAATATTACATTTGATGTGATCCAGTTTAACGCATTTTCAAATAATTAACATGTGCATACACAATGCCCTTTCCAAATTAACAGATTACACAATC